GTGCTGATGCAGAGGCTGTGGAGGGGCGCTGCTTTACTGGCTTGCTCCCATGGCTTGCTTAGTCTGTTTCCTTATAGAATCGAGAACCACCAGCCCAGGGATGGCGCTGCCCACCATGGGCTGGATCCTCCACATCGACTACCAATTTAAAAAGAAATGCCTTTCCGGCTTGTCTACAGCATGATCCTGTGGAGGCATTTTCTTAACTGAGGTTCCCACCTCTCAGATGACTTTTGCTGTGTCTGGTTGACTCAAGACTGTGTGCGAATGCAGTGTGAACACCTGCTTCAAGCTCCTGCTTCCTGACTTCCCTTCCTGGATGGACTGTACCTTGACTTATGAGCCACAACCAGCCCTCCCCACTTAAGTCACATTGGTCAGGGTCTTTCATGACAGTAACAGGAAAAGAAACCGAGGCACAGTTGCCTAGAACCTTGTCCGAGACAGGGTCCCTTTGCTGTTCTGGTCAGCACTGCAGAGCCAGGCTGGCTCTCAGGAGCTTCCATGGAGTCGCTTGTCTGCTTCCCATCTTGCTGCAGGAGCTCTGGCATTACAGACGCGGTCTGCTGCACCTGGCGGTATCTAGGAGCGGGATCTGTGAGGGGTCCAGGAGTTCACAACGAGGTCCTCCCAGTTGTGCAGCAGACACTTCCCCGCTGAGCCACTTCCCCAACCCCCGATTAAACTTTTCATCTATTTGATTTGGTCTTTGGTTTGCAATAATAAGAAAAATAATAAAATTGTCATATATGATGCTGTCCAGTGCATTTTAGTCTCTGAAAGAAAGCCACAAGTAACTGTTTATCTGGTTTTGAAAAGATCATTTTAAATCATACTCTTAAGAATTCTTAGTGTTTTGATGTGTTATAAATGACCGGCTTTCAAGTTGGATGAACCATTAATTAGAGTAAAAATAATTAGATCCATTTACAAGTCACCACCATTAGTTTTGTTTCTGTCAAGAGAACTTCTCTTTTGCTCGTCTGAATGGCTTATCTAGTTTGCATCCTGGGAACGCTGGGGGTTTAACTGTGAGCCTTCAGAAGACAGACGTGAAGGCCATCTGCTGACCCCAGCTCTTGTCCAAGTGACTAGCTTGTCCTGGTAGCTCTGAAGGCTGCATGTGTTGACTGAGGGACAGCAGATGGCTGTGCAGATTTACAGTCGTCAGCAAGTGGCCAGAAGTCATCCTGCCTTGGAGGTCTTCAAGCTGCTGGCCACATGTGCTTGGTTAGTGCATTCGTGGCCTCATGTAGGCTGCTGGCTCTTGGGTTCGCTCTACCCTCCCTGATGTCCCAACTCTTCATTTTGTTTTTTAAGAGTTAGCATTCTGTCTGTGGTAATCTATAAAGAATCTGTAATCCAGTGGCTTTGAAAAGAAGAAAAAGGCAAACATACTTGGGATTTCTTTTTTCCAGGTTGCCATGGAGGATTAGCTTTCCGCTGTTAGGAAATGACCTGAATTTAAACTGCTCTGTAGTGAAAGTGAAGGAAGGGCTTTTTCCTTTTCTGGCAGATTCCTGATTACTCAGAGGTAAAGTTTTAGAGCTAATTTTAGATCATTCTAGAAATTGCTCAGATTCTATTTTATGCAACTATTTCTATAAAACCATTCTATTGTGCAACTGTAATTTAATTATAGACTGTGATGTGAACCTGGCTTCTGATAAAATGTAAGATCCATATGTAGCAGAGATAGACATGCAGGAATGGTCCTAGGGCAATGCATTTCCCATAGTCAGGGTGGAGAAGCACCACCGTGTGGAAACAGAAATTCCCATCTCAGGAGAAGAAGGGACGCCTGGGGCGTGCAGGGCAGATGGCGGGGAATGGCTTCAGGAAGAGGTGCCCAGCGCCCTTGGCTTAGAAGTGCACTTTCAGAAGGAATGCAAGCAAGTCAGGATTTCAGACAGTTTAGTGTTCTGGGAGGAGGAAAGGACTTCATTGGTCTGGCTTTTTCCCTTTAATCACAGCCTTCAGGCAGGTCTTCCAGGAGCGCCTTGCTCACTTACTTACCACCTCCAGAACCAGAAATTCTCATTCCTGGAAGTGAAACTTCAGTTTTACACAGGCAGAAGCTCCAGGGCCATGGCTCTCCTCCGGGAGGTTTCTTTAGGGGACGTGAGTACCGTGAGTACCGCTTCCAGGGAATGGAGACAGCCCTTTGCCGACTGACTCTCAGCTGCACTCGCCTTCCATCGCTTAGATTGTATTGGAAGGTACTCTCTGGCCTGAAGATGATTCAGCTGACTGCTGACAGATTCAGATGCACAGGTGCTTGTGGCCCTCGGAGGGCAGCTCGGCAGCTCCCCGAGAGGAGAGGGTCAAGGCCGTCATCCTCTAGATCCCAAGCTTCACTCCTGTTCCTCCGCCTCGGTAAAGCCTTATCCTGGTGCTTCTGCTCCTCCTCTCCATCTCTTGCTTCCATTTTTCTGTCGTTGCGCCACTCCTTTCCTTTTTCTTGATTTATTTTCTTTCTGGATATATGTTAAGACTTCCCGGTCTTCCTCAGAGCAGATTATGCCTAGTGCCCGTATGTGCCATTTCTGTGATTTGCCCCTTCATCGTGTCTCATTACAGATGGTTGTGAGCCACCATGGGGTTGCTGGGAATTGAACTCAGGACCTTTGGAAGAGCAGGCAGTGCTATTAACTGCTGAGCCATCTCTCTAGCCCCTTAATTTAAGGTTACAGTATTTGAAATGATGTAAAAGAACTTTAGAAATTTTAGCAGTAAGTTTTCTTCACTATGGAAATCATTACTGATTATTTATCTGTAATGTATCTATTTCTTTGAAATAGGTTCTCCTTTTGTAGCCATGGTTGACCTTGAACTTGTAGCCATCTTCCAGCTTTTAGCCTTGGGGTGTTGGGAGGAATGAGCAGCTGCTTTTTATCTCATGGTCAGAGCTGGAAAGTTTCTTACTACTGATAATTTTGAACATTACTTGATTTTGATAATATTGACGGTTGATAACCACTGCAGGAAGCCAAATGCAGAAGATAAAGCACCCGAGTCATTTCCTAGACCTCTGTTGCTTCAGGACCCATCTCTTTTCTTTCTCTGCATTTTGACAGAATTACTGTATCTGTCTGAACTTGAGCCTCTTTAACAAAATACCCTAGTCCGAATGGCTTACATGGTGGTTATTTCTCATAGACGTCGATGCTGGGAAGTCCAGGTCGGAGTTGAGAATATTAGGGTCTGAGGGCCCTGAGCTGTTTGCAGGTAGCCAGCCTTTTTCTTTCTGTGTCTTTGAATGGCTGTGGGAGATCCTGAGTCTTTTGGCTTTTGTTGATAAGTGGGTCAGTCCCACCAGGGATCCGGCTCTTGTGACCTCTGCTAACTCTTGTCTTCTCCCAAAAGTCCCACACCCTAGTGCCATCTCATTGGGAATTAGGCCTTCAGTGTGAACTTGGAGGGGCACAAATATTCATTCTGTATAAGTATTGTTCATAATGTGTAATAGCCTGCGATTTCATTTATCACTTTGATTACGTCTTAAATATTTTACCTGTTGCTTACTATAATAGGCTAGTCAGAGGAGGTGCTAGCTTATTTAGGATGTGTTGGCAGAAGAGATCTGGGGCTCTTGCTAGGTCTAATCTGCTTGCTAAGTTGGTGCCATGTTTGAAGGAAGCAGGTGAATTACAGATAGACAGCATGTGTTATAGCCGTAGATGCTCGGAGCTTATGGTCTAAAGACTTTAATGTGTATTGTATGTTTAAAGACGAGGAAGCCTATTTTCTCTTTGGGATCTCATCGAAGGGACAGTGTGGGTGGTTACTGTGCATGTTGCATCATGTCCCAGAGGCATTTAGACTTCAGATTAAAGCTTTCAAAAACGTTCTATCTGTGCCAGGCAGATTCGACTTCCTGCTTCTTAAAAATAAATAATAAATGGATCCAGGGCTAGAGCCATAGCTGTGTTTCAGAGCACTCGCTGCTCTTCCGGAAGACCTGAGTTTGTTTCCCAGCCCCTACATCAGTGCTTTCTTCTTCTGGCATCTGCAGGCATAGCATAGATGTGGTGCATGGAGGTATACTTGGGCACTCACACAGACGCATTAAATACTAAAAGAAATGCTAATTCTAACAGTGTTGGGGGCTGCAGGCCCCTGCGCCCTTGACTTTCTCTGCCTGCCTCAGACCCTTTGCATCCTGGAGTGAACAACTTGTTTTCCTGTGCCTGCAGCTGCTCTGAGCACGAGACCCTCATGAGTTCCTGATGGCAGGAAAGTGAATTCTGGTGCTAGGGCGTGGCTATCAATTAAGGATCCCCTTATAAGCTTCCCTGGAGCACCGTAAAGTTGGCATTCCTGTATCAAGGATGACCTGTGCACTGTCTCTCTGTCGCTATGTGTGTGTGTGTGTGTGTTTTTAAGTCTCCAGCCTAGTGCTCGAGACTTGCAAACCGTAGGATGTACCATCCTGTCGTGCAGGCGCTACACAACAGCATTTCCCAAGGCCTGGGAAAGACGTGAGTGAGACAGGGATGCAGGGTGAGGCCAAGAATGGGCTCGAGAACTGCCCAGGGACCTCGCAGTGGCAGTTACCTGAACCTGGGCGGGTAATTATCTGGACCTCAGTGGTCACTCAGAAAAGAGGAGGACAGCTGAGGAGGCCTGAGGGTCGTGGCAGTTCATTTCTGTGCCATTACATCATTGTAACAGTGTGCTGTACTGGGCAGGATGTCCCTGTTGGGAGGGACGAGTTATCGAGGACACTGAGTCGTGCTGTGCGATTATTTTATAATTTTCGTAAGGCACTGATTGATCTCTGTAATAATTTCAGTTGATTTTTTTTTTTTTTTTTTGGTACTAGCTGTAACACTGAAGAATGTTCAATTGTGTGGTGGTTTTCTCAGTGACAGATTGGACATTAGATTGATGCGTTTTCTCACTAGTAACCTAACATGAACTGAGGAACAAATGCCCCTTAAAATTTTCTTAGTAACTCTGTTAAACAGTACAGTGACCGGCTCTTCTCTCTCTTTCAGCCACGAAGACTTTGATTTTATTTCAGGAACACGCATGCGCAAGCTGGCGCGTGAAGGTCAGAAGCCTCCCGAGGGCTTCATGGCTCCCAAGGCCTGGACTGTTTTGGTGGAGTACTACAAGTCCCTAGAGAAAGCGTAGCCGCTGAGCCAGCCACTCACCTGGGATGCAAGACTGAGTGACGGAGGGGACCACGCAGTCAGCGACAGTGTTTCTCTGTGGGCGGGTCCATCTGGTCACACTTCCTGAAAACAGACCGTTTCCTCCGTGTGCATCCGTTTTGGTCTGCCTTTGGGTTCTGTTTTGAACTATGTAACATCTCTGCTCGTAATGTGTCTTTTCCACTTACTGTTAACATTCTTATGATAAGATTGAAAAATCTTGCCTTTTTATATTGTATTTATGCTTCTGTCCTAGGATTTTCCAAGCTGATTTATTAGTTATAACCAATAATACACACATCATCTAACTTTTAATTTTCTAAGAAAGGGGGGGATCACTAAACAGTAAACTTGGCTTGTTTGGAGAATTTTACAAATTTTACAAGATATCTGTAGCAATTCGAGTTTTTTATTTTACATTAAAAAATGTAAACTGCTCCTTCCTTTGCAACCCAATATGCTGAGGTATTCTTGTAATCTGTGTTCGGTGTTGAATGAATGCCTTGATTCAATAAAATTAATTTTGGGGGGCTTCTCCTTTATGTTTTGTGTACATTATACCCTTTCCTTGTAAAAATCCCTGGCAAAGGGGGACTGCGAAAGCATTTTTAATTTCTGGGGTCTGATAGATAGCTCCTAGTACCATGGTGTTTGCTGAAGTTCTGCAAAACAGAAACCTGTACTCTGAATTATGTAGGAAAATTATAAAGAATTCTTGGTCGATTTGAAATCTCAGTTTTGCCATGTATATCCTTAATATTCTTAAACACCAGGATCAGGATGGCAACAGAGTGTCACTGCTTTCTAAACTGTAGCCACAGTGTAGGTCATAGCTGTTGGAAGTCAGGAAGGCTCGCTCCTGCTCTATCTGTTTCATCCACGAGGGCAGGCACGTGCTTTCTGCTGTCCCATCCTCGTGGGCAGACACGTGCTGTGTGCTGTCCCATCCTCGTGGGCAGACACGTGCTGTATGCTGTTCCATCCACGTGGGCAGACATGTGCTTTATGCTGTTCCATCCAGTTGGGCAGACATCTGCTTTGCCTACTGTGATCATTCACGTTGTGACTGAGGCAGACTAGAAAGAAATTCTGGGAACATGAAAAGAGAAGCTCTTCACAATCCGATTGAAACCTCTTACCAGAAGCAAAGCAAGAATTGCAGCACAGTGGACAACTACCAAAGACCACACCCCTGCTCAGTTGCAAACCTACAGTTTTCTAGGAATTTTACAAGAAAACCATTTTGTAGGGAAAGGACATGTTCCAAACCCTTTGCACAAACCTAATGGCTTCTGGTTTTACCTTATAAAATTAAAACTTTGTCAACGACATCTCCAGAGGCACCCTATAATCTCACTTATCAAAAGAGAAAAAAACAATGAGGGGATGTTTAGTAGCCTTTAGAGATTTGAGAGCCCCCAAAATGGCCCATCTGGTAATGAACAGTGTGTGTCGCTTGAGCCCACCCCACACTTGGATATGTCCTTCTGAACTCCCTTAGAGAAGCTCACATCCGTGCATCCATCTCTGCCACTTTGTGTGTCTATGCCAGTGAGAGATTTCAGAGGAAAACAGCATAAAAATGGTGCACACATCTAGCCCTGGTGCCACATGCCTGTAGCTCCAGATTTTTAGGAGACCGAGGCAGGTTTGCAAGAGTAGCCAGTGAACCTAAACCAAAGCTAGGCCTTGCCTCGAAAATGATCACACGCAGGCTCTGAAGTATTTGGGTTCAGAAGAGTCAGTATTACTTGCTAGGTCAGTAGAGCAAAACTGATTTCACAGCTCCACTCATGTGAGTTGGGAAAGACTTCTATTAGAAAGGCCAACAGAACTGCCAAACTTCAAAGTAATGTTTCCTCTTAACACGTTTTAAAAATTAAAATTCAGGACAAAGGTATTTCAAAAATGTCGTTCATAAAATAGCATTGACCTTAGTTGGTGGAAGCAGGAATATTTTGAGTTCAAGGTCAACCTGGCTTACATAGCAAGTTCCAGTTTGGGGTTGTCCAAAGACCCTGTTAAACCAAACCAAAGAAGCCTTAGCATTTTTAACCTAGGGCGGAAAGACTGGCTTCCCAAAGCATTGATCCTTCTTAGGGATAACAAGGTTGCATCCTGGGATATGATGCTGTCTTAGGGTTTCTATTGCTGTGAAGAGACGCCATGACCACGGCGACTCTTAGAAAGGAAAACATTGAGCTGGGGCTGGCCTACAGTTTCAGAGGGTTAGTCCATTATTGTTATGTCAGAATGCATGGTGGCATGCCGGCAGACATGATGCTGGAGAAGGAGCTGAGGGCTCTACATCTTGATCTACAGGTAGCAGAAGGAGACTGCTACACTAGGACCTAGCTTGAGCATATAAGACCTCAAAGCCCGCCCCCACAGTGACACACTTCCTTTAATAAGGCCACACCTTTTAATAGCCCCACTTTCTTTGGGCCAGGCATTCAAACACATGAGTCTAAAAGGGCCATATCTATTCAAACCACCACGAAATGTAAACTGGGAAGATGATGTAAATTTTTATTGAAATAAAGTGACTTTGGGGATGGACACCATCTGGGGCAAGCTGGTTAAGCATCTTTGTAGAACTAGTTTTGTGCCAAGCTGTGGTTTGGCAGAATCTTGTCACGGACATTTTTGATATCAGCCAAATATGTGTGAAGACCACCCTCTCAATCGGCACTTCATAGCTCATTAATTCATTTTCTCAGGGCTTAATAAGTCAGTCCATTTTAATTCTAATCATTTCATGGTACTCTTTCCATTTGTAATCACAGTTTTTACAGAATTCAGATGTGGCAGAAATGAGACTAGCAGGGATAAATTAGAGTTTAAAAAGTCACCTTGCATTTTATCAGGTAGCTGGCCTGGGCTCCTGCCCACTAAAACGCATGTGGTGAAAACGTGGCTCCAGGCCCCAGCCCCCTGGGATTAGCCACCTACTTGGGTTTTATAAAAACATTGAAGAAATAAAAGCAGCCAGTAACTTCTATCATTTCCTAGACTGGCATGTGCTTCTAAAACTGATAGATGTGGAAATTTTATTTTTCCCCTTCCTAAGTTTATAAAAAGAGACCAAACCAATCTTTAAAACATCCAACCCTTCTGAGGAATGCCTGCTGCCAAGTGGTTTCAGAAATCTAAGTGTCTTTTAATCTATTCATCAGCTGGAGAAGGGAACGGAAAAATGATTTTTTAAAGGACAGTGTCATGGTCTTGGCAGAAAGAGAGAGTCTTAAATCTGTCAGTTCTCTCTTCCACTGTGATAATCAAGACCACATATTTGAGTTTCATTTCCATCCAAGAAGGGAGCAATTATACCTATCTCTTGGAAGCCAGCCTTCAGATGCTTAATCAGGAAAGATTCGGAAGTTGTGTTTCCACAGATGGCCTATCTTTAGGAGCACATATGCGTTCAAGAATGGGTTGGCTCACAAAGTAAGGAGGTGTTTGCCCACTGGACCTCTGACATGTAGCATATACGAGCCTCCAGGCCTCTTTGCTTGTGTTGCTGCTAGATGCCATTTCTGATTCTACACAGTCTTGTTCCAAATATGATTAGAGATGTCTTGCAAAGACCACCCTGCCCACAAAACACGGTATTTTCCTGGGACGAAGTGAAATCTGGCTTCCTTACAACTACGTATTTGTGAACTGTAATTCTCCTCCTCTTCACTTCCTGCCTCTCCAGGTTCCCAGGGAAAATGGCATCAGGATTTAGGACCCAGCACTTAAGAGTAATTGGAGGCCAGAATGTGGCCTTATAAATAAGTCGTAGCTGGCGTACTGAGTGCTGGAGCCGGAGTGAAATCTGGGCAGAGCCCTCTCTGAGGGGCACTCGATTCTCGTCTTGCCTGTCAAGGACAGGGCACTCAGACACTTGTGTCTCAGGGAGCTCTGTTTCCTTCATGTAAGAGAAGCCCTGGGAAGGCTTCCTTCTGCCTCTGTTGGTTCTCTTTGTATCGCAGCGCAAGGTGATCTGTTTGACAGTTTTGTACATGGGGGTGACGTGTTCTTGTTCTCCACCCTGAGAACACTGAGTAAGGTTCATGTGACCTGGTATAACTGCTCACCTGCTAGTCAAGGTTGGGAAATTTGATAAAGGTAAAGCCAAATAATTTGAAGTCGGAGCAAGAGAGAGCCAGTACACTTAGATTAATAGATAAATTGACATTGAGCAAGAGTGTTTCAAATCAAGCAGCTAGGAACCTACAAAATGGAATGTGTCCTCCGTACACAAAGGAAAACCCAAAATAGACTAGCAAGAATAATTCTCAACTTTCAGGGGTTCTCAGCCTTCCTAACACTGCGACCCTTTAATACAGTTTCTCATATTGTGGTGACACCCAACCATAAAATTATTTTAGTTGCTACTTCGTAAGTAATTTTTGCTTCGGTTATGAATTGTTTATAAATATCTGATATACGACCCCTGTGAAAGGGTCATTAGACTCCCAAAGGGGTCATGACCCACAGGATGAGAACCACTGTTCTAGAGCCAAGTTACTAAAGTAACCTGACCAGCGGCTGCTTGGCTTTGCAATTTACAGTGTCACTGTCAGCATCCTTTGTTCATACAGTGTATCTAAAGGCAGAGTTGAGCAGTTTAGATAGAGACCCCAGGCCCTGAGAACTGGGACTTAGATATCTGGCCCTTGTCAGGAAGTTTGCTGACTTCTCTTCTGGACCAAGAATTACTTCTATAGTGTGGATCCTCACATCAGACTTCTCCCCCAAAAGGAAAGATCAGACCCGGAGAATGACAAAATAGTGTGGTTGTTAGTGTGTAGGGTCCACCTTTCTATTCCTTTCTTCAGTGTATTGAGGAGCTGGGGATTTGGGGGTGAGGGTGGAGAAGGAGAAGAAATCAAAACCTTCCCACGGGGTTTCCCTCCCAAAGTCACAGGTTTCTCCTGTTCTGTAATTGGATGCTAATGATAGTGAGCCTGTCCAACAGTTAGTTAAGGTCATGACATCAATGAAGAGCTGCCATTTCAGTCCATGTGAATGAATCTGTTTACTGAATTAACTAGGGTTTTTAAAGCATCGTGTTACTACAGCAACCATTACTGCAATGGGAACTGAAACTTGTAACAACGAAATATGAAGAATAAAACTAAATATAAGTTTTAGTACACGATGATACTAGTAGGAGTTTTTTTTCTTTTACACTTATGATGTTTGTTTAGGAAACTATTGCTTTATACAAGTTAACAATCATCAGAAGCAGCAAGAATGTAGAGGTTGTGTGACAGGTTGCCAAGCCTGTGAACAGGATAGGAGCATGCGCTTCTGGATTTCATGAGTTCCATGCTGTAATTTTGTATTTTGTATGCTATATTAATATTTTCCTTATATTTAGTTCCCTTGAAAACATGAACAACCTGAAACACCTAAATGCCAGTCTCTGAGGGAAATTACTGGACGCCATATACCCAGTGTGTTGTGGGGGTGGAAAGTCTCTCAAAGTATTTTATTCTTTCGACTTTGGAAGAAGAAAAAAGAGTTATTCTTTGTTTATTCACATTTTTAC